TTTTTTTTTTTTTTTTTTTTTTTTTTTTTTTTTTTTTTTTTTTTTTTTTTGGCAGAGAGTAAATATTTGATTGGTATATCTTATCCTGGAGTGACGTAATAGAGTTTGTCAAAGAGTGACGTGGTTAAGAAATAAATGCCATGCCCAGGTATGGGACACATCATCTTGCTCTTTTATTTAACTGGAGTAGGCGAAAAGCCTCTAATGTTCTCTGACAGATTTGAAATGAGTGCTCACAGAAAGTCAGTTTCTCCCTGATGCTTAACCGCAAAATGTCAAGCAGTGCTAGTCTTAACTTCCCTAATTTTATGACAGAGAGTGGGGGTGTCTGCGAATTTAGATGGTGCATTACTCTGTGATGCAGAGACTAACACTATTAAAGAACAAATGCAGACACTATTGCAAGCTCACAGAGCCTCTGCACACTAATTTAGTCCCCAGTACCTATGTAATGAGTGCATACCAACATTTGCTCGTGTTAAGTTCATTCACAAGATCAGGACAAGACGAGGGCAGCCATGAAAAAATGTGATTTGGGCATTCTATCCAGTGGTCTTGGTATTTTCCACCGTGGTTTTTTAAAAGCATTAGTCAGTGTTAACTCCTTGCCCTAAAATAAACTAGGTTTGCTAATACTGCCACCAATCCAGCATAGTACTGACCTTTTGTCAGAACAGAGTATTTATGATATTTTCTTAAAAGGAAGTGAGAAGTAGGTTTTTGGCACAGTTTCTGACAGACTTTTTTCTTCTGAGTATTCACTGCACTGTTTTTCAATACCATATAAATTAAACTTTATTTGAATACCTCCTGATTCTGATAGCAGTACAGACTCAATAACTGGCCTCTGCTTTCAAGTCTCCACTCATCACACCCTTGTCTGCTCTGAGGGACAAGACTGTGTCCCTTTTGGAAATCCTAATATGAACTGATTTTTCTTGTCAACACATTCATCAGCTCTTTCAAAGTACTCCATTAAATTTGTGAGGTATGTTTGTTGACTCTTACCCAGGGTCATATTTAACCTTTATTTCACTAATGCTAACCTTTAAAAAAAGCTGCTATTGTTTTTCCTAGAAAGGGAAGTTAGACCATACTGTATATAACTTAAGACTAGTGCTGTCTATTCTAAAGCAAAAAAACTGAACAAAAAAATGATCAGCATCCTTCGTAAGTCCTCGGTACTGTACTAGGACAGTACAAAAAGTAAAAAACCCTTTAGTTTTGCTGTTTCATGCTTGAGTTCCATCAGAGTTCTTGTCTGGAAAATATCTAGTTTTGAGAATTTATTGCTCCTTTTGTATTTTTCACAATCCTTTTCCTCTGCCTCTAGTTTGAGACAGGTCTTGCATTGAAGGTGACAGGATCTCATGCAGGAACAAGTTGTCCCTCCTCTCTTACATACATATTCTAAAATCTGTCAGAGTTGGAGACACTTATTTCCTTTCTTCCAATGTTTGTAGGTAGGTTTTGTCATCTCTGAATTAACTATTTCAGAAAATCATGAAGGATAAGCCTTTATCATATCTATCATTTTATATTTACCATTTTTCAAGCTTGCAACACCTAGAGACTGAGCTGAATGGAGTGTCAAACGAACACCAACATCTTGAATATAAGCCATTGTAGTCATAGGATAGATATTTGCTTGAAGAGGCAACTTGCTCATCGTCAGTCTAGGCTGGATCTGCAATATGGACACAAACTTCAATGAAGTACATTCTTTTTGTGCATATAAATGTCAAAGACATTTTCAGACATTTATTCCATGTACTTTGGAAGAATAATCACCATGAAAGCACTCACTCAGCTGTATTATTTAGCTTTTTGGAGATTTGTGGCTAAAATTACCACTTTAGAAATGATAACTTCAGTGTAACTTTTAGATCAAAGAATATTCTAAAAATGTGAAAGATCCATCAAGGGAATCTACAAAAAGAATTATCACAGTTATAGAATGAGAGAAAATTTTTTCCCCTCTAGAGAGCAAGCAGTGAATAGATTCAAGCAAAAGAGGAATTGTTGATTTATAATGCAAACTTATTAAACTGTTGGTCAAATTCTTAAATGGTACATGACAAATGAGTAGTAGTATTAAAATTATGTTTAAATATTCACTGTCTCCAGCAAAATGTAGTACTACACTGTAACTGGAAAAACAGTAGTCTATTATTCAGCAGGTAAGGCTTTCAATGTGTTTGGAAAATTACTCTTAGCAAGGAAAGAAGGTAAGGCAAAACAATTTTTTTTTCCTTTCTTTTGTGTGTGCTGCAGGGTTGAAGTTAAGACAATAGTCATACTATATTTCATCAGATGCATTATCAATAGAACAGAATACATCCAAAAATACTTCACATATTTAAAACTGAGCTGCAAGGAGCTGTTCGCTAGGTCTGAGTTGCTGGTCCTTATGCACACCTATCATTGTGCTATCCAAAGAGCTCTAATTAAATAGACCAGCAGAGGGAAAGAAGGCATGGAGATATACAAACAACTACATGGTGGCTTATCATAACTTGCCTTACTATAATTCTTAAGTTAAAAATGATATAAAGCAATATTCAACAAACTCCTTAAAAGCAGTTACTTCTTTATCTGGCATACATCAAATTTTATAATAGATACATTTTAAAAAGCACTTCTCTTAAATGACTAGTGCAGTTTAACATGAGACTGATTAATCTAACTCAAGATCTTTACATTCAGAAGGATTTAAACAGTCAAAACCTGACACCCTAGGCTTTTATAATTAATAGATGACAATTACCTGATACCCATTAAGATCAGTATAGAATCTATTTCGACTGTTAATGTCAGATGAAATTCTCATTGCAAGTTCACGATTATATTCTCCTCTAATGTCAACAATATTGGAAACTTCGAGAGACTGTCCTTCCAAACCTACGTGAAAAAAATATGCATTTAAAATCTCTCAATTTTTAAAAGTGATTGCCACAAACAGAAGAATGACTATGTTCCCAGGAGACAATAACCTAGTATTACACTGCTAGTTTCTGTTTTTCTGTTATACCTAACCAGATACTGGAAGCCAGTTCAGTGATGTCTTTAACAGCAGCTAATATTCTGGAGCAAGACCTGGTCATTCACAGACAAGGATGAAGTCACCAACTTCTTGATAGAACTGTTTGACTGAGCACGAAACTGTGAGCAACTGTTCTAACCAAAACGGGGAGAATCTTTCTTTAGTACAGCAAATTAAGAAACTGTGCTGATATAACCCCAACCACGACACAAAACTTTGTTAACAGGGAAAAGATTCCTACTTATTAAAAGAAGGATTAGGTGTCTGAAAATGCCAAAAAATTGTTCAGTGTGATTAGTTTTTCTACAGTGCCTAGTACTGAAAATTAAATACCTGTAATAATAGCCTAACCTTTTCAAACAGTTCAAGACACAGTTTGGAGAGGAATCATACCATCATTCATCGTGATTGCTTTCATCCTTTCTGTAATATAATGGGACTAACAATTGTGAAAGAATTCCACCAAGCACAGAGAGATATATTTTTTTCCTCATCTGCTTTAAAATTTGAATGCCACCTGCAGCAGTCCCAGCAACTGTTAAAATGTTAACATTTACCAGTACAGTGTTAAAAGAAAAACATTCAGTTCAGGTAATTACTTATATTTTCCCAAACCGAGTCTGGAAGAAGTAGATTTATATGCTCTACTTTTGATGCTCTTAGTCATAGATTTTCCAACTATTTAAAGTAGGACTATACAAGTTTGAGCACATTGCACAACGATAAAGTATTTTAACTTAGAATTTTTAAATTACCAGATTCTAAACTAGTTTCCGGTTTTTTCTACTACATAATTTGAATTAATACAAAAATACAATTATGAAGATAATAAAACAAAAAGTTCTGATTAAAAAACCAAGAAAATCATGCTGATATCAAAAGTAATGTCAATAGCAGCAGAAATTAAAAATCACTTAATTATCTATTATTGAACAGTTGTCAACACAGAGTATTTTCTGCTCAAAATCAGCAGAGTTCTAAGGCCAAAAGTGTAAAAGCAGTGTTTTACCAAGACTGCTGAAGAAGCTGTAGGACTATTGTAGGAAGTACTGTCCAACAGTTGGATTAGCCATGCAATCAGGCTTGCTCCCCCATGGAAAGCAGGGTAGGTTACAATAGGACACCATGTCTTTATTTGAAAATAAAATGCATGTTTATGCATACACACCTATTGATTTCTTTCCACATACTTTGTTACTGTACCTACCTAGTTAGGTTTCAAAATATCTCATTCTAATTGAAATAATGCTATATAAATAACTTTCCTTACAAAGCCCAGGAAACAGACTCCAGCAAAACAATGATGCAAAGTTCCTAAATTTTAAACTTTGAAAAAGAAAACTTCACATGAAGAAATTAAAATGAAAATATGCCAAAAAGTGAACAGAAAATATATAAAATACTTTTCACCTAATTTTTTCTTTTAAAAGCTGTATGTATGGTACAGGACTTCACCACGATGACTGAATATGTAATGGTGTAAGTATTGAAACCCTGTGATGAATTAAAATTTGTCAGGGAAAAATCCCCCAAAATGAAAAACAAAAACCTAGACAGTACACTCACAAAGAAAGATAAATAGATCATAATGAAACAGATGATGTCAATACCATTTTTGAAATGTAAAGGAAAGAATGAAAAGAGCAAGGAAGGCTTTCAAAGTACTTATAGTATCATTATTTGGTTTTGAAGGTGCTTAGGAAAAATAATTAAATACTATAAATAAGATTTTAAAAACCGCAAAGACACTTTTGACATCTATGGTAAAAGTAATGCTAATATAAAACATGGTATAAGTTCCTTCAAGTGTTGAAAATGTTAACCAGTGCTTCTTTATTCCAAATTCATACAAACAGATGAATAATGGAAAATGTATGTTACTTAATTACAGAAAGATACACTTAAGCATGTTAACATTTCAGAGGAAAATAAATGTATTCATTTGTGCCGTGATTTCCTCCCTCTTTTACATTTTTAACTGTCCAATTTAATCAAGTTTAGAAGGGTACAGACTTTGCAAAATTACTCTTTACCTAGACTATTCTTGGAAATCTGCACCTGAACAGTAGAGAAACAAAAAAAACCAAAAGCATTACTGAAGAAGAAGAAAGCAAAACTGATATGATGTTATGTCCTAAGAGCAAATAAGTTGATATTTGGTGCTGGTGCCTCTCAGCAGACACAGCCAACTCTGTCATAAGCTCTTCCAGGCAAATGAAGGACATACAGAGGAAACTCACAGATAACTAAAGCCTACAGTTGTGAAGTAAACTAGACTTCTCTATTAATGCCACCAATATTCACTCTTATATTCTTTGCAACTTTAGAGAAGATATTGTTGTACCTCAGTCAGTAAGCTCGAAACTATGAAAGAAACCACATCATCTCCAAGATTTTTCTGCTTTCTTTTCCTTGTTTTCAAAATTTAGAGTTACTTACAGCATTCAGATGACTCAGTAAAGTTTGAAGAGGTACCTCCAACAAATCTGTTGAGTTTAAGTATACCATGCCTTAATGACTAGCATGATACTCAGAGACGAATCTTGATCCACTGGACTCATAAAGATTCAGTCTGATGAATTCTGCACTAGTTCAAAAGTGCATTTAAACACTAAAAAGGCATCCAAGGCTGTAGGGATGAAAAATAACTGCCAAGAGAGACAGAATTTCACAGCTCTTACCCTGGACTTTATAAAGTCGCATGGTATGTGTTACATGGTGAAAAAAACAAACAACTTCTGAAAAAATCCTTCCATGAGCAACTCTTATGGTAGGTGGATCTGTAAAAATGTAAGGCTACAAAAAGAAATAGAAAGTCAGAGTAAGTATTTTGGAAATTTTGCATAAATGTAGTGTTAGTAAATCAAAGTATTTATTAAACATTAAATAGTATTTTTTTTACACTGTTCTAAGTCTAGTCTAAAAGATTAAAATCAAAAGATTACTCCCAATTTCGAATTCAGCAATTTCTCCTTAGAGTCTCATTTTTTCTTTAGCTGAAATTAGGCTGTCTCATTACACATTTCACAGGTATTTTATGAGGATTTATGGATACAAGGTCTACAGACAAACATACTAAGGTATAAATATTGCATAAATCTGGGTTGAGCTTCTCGACTGTCAAACTTTTAATTGCTAACCAGTAATCAATTACTATACTTCCATAATGGTTAACAGTTTACTATATCAGAGATACACCCTGCACAGGGAAAGCTGCCTCTACCTTGTCTTATGGATCAGTTTGCATATCCTTTTGAAAAAGAAAGCTTTTTCTTTGTCAGAAGCAGCTACAGGTGCCATTGGAGCTCACTGGTATGCAGGTAGGGCTGGGAATCATTAAGAAATGTCAACAAGGACAGTGGCTTATTACTAATGCCTCCCAAAGAATAAGACAAATTTTGCATATCAGTAGTCAAATCAAAGAGATGAAGAAAATTATTTTTCCACGTAGTGAGGGTATTTAGGCTTTTGGCTAGGCAAATGATGGCTTTTTTAGAAACAGTTGATCCCAAACTAAACTGTATACACCAGCTGGAAATAGATGGGTGGCTGCAAAGGTAAAAAATGGGTTAAATATTGAGTGTGTACAATACCAAAACTGAAAATACAACACATGTAACTACTACTATAAGGAAACAGCTATAAATATAGACTTCACTCAAAAAAAACCCCCATTTCAAATACTTGAAAAGCATGTTACACAGAGAGATCTAAGCAGAAATCTCTCAGAGGGTGACTGTATCCCTTCTGTAAGTGCAAATGTCTTAAATAAGACAGATCACGGTCTTTCTTCAAGCAACAATATCAAAGATCAAATGTATCTTGAGGAAGGGCAGAAATCAAGCTTACCTACACACAGACACGTTAGAGAAGAACAAGTACAAGTAAATATTGTCCAGTATTCTTTGAGCATATAACTGTATGTATATTTACAGAGAAGATTTCAGGAAGTATTGTATAAAAGAAGAAATGAAAGAGACTTTCAGAGACTAAAAGCCTGCCTTTTCTATTCATATACTTACTTCTTAAGAGTTTCAGACAGAATACTGTTTAATAAAAGCTTTGCCAGTGCTCCAAGAAACAACTCTGCAGCTCTGAACGACAGGAATACTTTGTTCAGGAGTTTGAAAGAGAAATTATAGTTGCTTACACTTTGATAAGATGATTTGGTTTAGGGATAGAGGTTTTTTTTTTTCTACTGATCACCTTACTCAGTTCATCAGTACAAACACCCAGAAGAGTGTTTCGGAATTCTTGATAGTCTACAAGAAAAAATTATTAAATACTTCCATGGAGTCTCGTCAACAAGACAGACAAATGTTATCCGTTATGAAAAATCAATTTGCTAGCTGAGAAACAGAGGAGAAGCATGGTATTTGGAGGGCATATAAACCAGATGAACTAATATGTTGAAATAAAGGGAATTTGAAGATCAAATCTTAGGTTAGAATTTGAGCTGCTTTTGGGTTCTCTTATTTCCATGAGAAACTGACAAGATCCATAACTGTAGACTGAATTTTCCCCTTTTGGAAGAAGAGGTTGCTATCTTCTTTTCTATCATACATAGGTAGAGAAAACAAACTCATTTAATCTGTGACTACATGTTCCCAGAAATTAAAAATCCCACAGAGGAATGGGATTACTGACCAGAAGGTGGAATAATCAAACCCTTCAAAATCCTACCTGCAACATGAAGATACTCAAGTTAGCAATGATGGACTGAAACAGCAACTAAAGGAACTCCCAGACAATGAACTGAGAAAGCTGAGGTCTTCAGGCCAAGCAAATACTCTCAGCAATTTACCTAAGAGAATGTTACTTACACAAACAGCAGCCTGAAGTAAGATCCATCTTATGGTATTATTTCTGTTGTTTGCACAAATATTTCTCACTAGGACTCTCACTAGGTGCTGGATAAATGACAAAGCAATGTAGAAGGCTGTGCACTTAGTAAAAGAAAATTATCTGAAGTAATTTCCAAAACCAAACATTGGAAAAAAACAAACCAACCAACCAACCAAACAAAAAAATCACATAAAAACCAAACCAGAACAAACCAACCAACCCCCATTCCACAAGACAAAATGGAAACATCACTTACAGGAACTTTTTTCCATTGAGCTTTTTAGTACAAAAAATGATGGTGAAATTGACAGCAGCTATCAAAATACAAAGAAAGCTGAAATGAGATGGATTTAACAGCTCTTGGATCCTGGGCTATTCCCACAAAGTTCACACAAAAGAGTCTCAAGGCTGCACAAGTAGCCAAATCAGCCTCTCTTCTGAAGATAAACAAGTCACTCATACCATTCTGAACTATACAAAAAGATCAGTTGATAGAAAAGGAATTGTAATTTTGCAGATACTGCCTGAAACTAATTATTTTTTTAAAATAATAATTCATAATTTCCCTAGCACATACATCAAGAGAAATGTATCAAAACCAGTTTGCAAGCCCCTAATTCAGACACAGTGCTAGGAAAAGGCACAAAGGAGGAAGACGACTTACAAAGGCAGATGCTATCCTGTGGTTCTGGGGATCAGATAAGTTCTTACTAATACAAAGAGCAGCAATATGATGTATGCTCAAGTTCTCAAGGATGAGTGATGTTTCCTGATTGTTAGGCAAACAGGAAAAATGAAAGGAAAATATGGTACTGACAGAACAGGAAACCCTCATAATTCATATTTAGTGCTTAGAAAAGCACTAATCCTAGAAAGTGATTTTTTGATAGTCACCAGGAGACATACTGAGTACAGAACCTATAAGGAGATAATTGCCCAGGTTTGTCTTACCAGAAACATTTCAGGCTTTTAAGCAGGAAAATATCTTTATGCATTGAATGTGCAATTATTCTCATATCATTGTTAAGATCCTTGGAGAGATGCACAGGCCTGTGAAATGATCCTTGTCCTGGACCTGAACCACAAAGGTACTTCCGACATGGAAGTGTGACTGAGAAGCAATGTGGAAAGAACAAACAACAGCACTTATTTGAAAAACTGACTTGACAACGCCTCAGTCTGACTTCAGTATTAAGTCTGCTTTGAAAACGAGCTTGGACTTACAGACCTTCCAGTATGAAGGAATCTGTAATTACTCACACCTTAAATTAGGAATAAAAATATTGTGGTCTCATAATCCAGTAGTTAGTCTCAAGACTTCACATTCTACAGAGTTAAAATAAATAGTTGTTATAAAATCTGCTCCACTCATCTCCACTGGAATGAAGTGCACTGTACAAGATTCAGCAACCTGCTGAGGCAGGTTTTGTTGTGTCTGGAGAGCAGTATTTTTCAAAAACAGGGTAACAGAAATACGGGTCAAAGGGCTCAGAAACCATTTTTCTGTACTCATATTCAAGAGAAATACAACAACCTTCCTTTGAAAGAAAGTGGGCAGGGGGGCTGGGGAGAAGAAAGCTAAAAATTTCAAGGCAAAATACTTGGAATAAAATAATACCCCATGGTTCCCTAGGATATCTTAAAACAAATAAAGCAGGTTCTAGAGGGTGAAGATAACTGGAGAGATACCTTCACCTAAAGATTTACTGGCTTGTATAGAAGACAGCATGGCATACTGCAGCCAGGAAGTCTAAAGCCTGGGCAATAAGCCTTTTCTCTTGTAGTCAAGTAAAGCACTAATAACCCTCTTAGTGTGGTCAGGAAGTTTCTGATAGTGCAGCACACTGTTGATGTGGATGTCAAATAAACTATGCCCAGGGGAAAGTTTTCCAACACAGGTGAATTGCTCTCAAGAGGTCTGAGATTTTAAAAGAGAACTCAAGACAAAGCCTTCTGGAAAAGTTGTTTCCAATAGCAGATTACCTTTCATTTGGCAGGATTTGAGATTAGACTGGACTTATCTCATGTATTTTAACTCTAGCACTAGAAATCCTGCAGAGAAAAAAAAGATCTCTTTTCTTATATTAGTCAGTACATAAGTACCTCTGGGAGCTAGGACATATGCAGAATCATACACCTAGTTGCCTGAGAGAGAATCAAAATTTCCTGGGTCTACAAAAAACCACCACTTTGATACTGAAAAAATTATTTGTGAAATAAAAAAATCAACTACTCACATTGATCCCACAAACACTTAGCATCTGACTCTTTGGAAGAAAAATGCTGCTTTTCTGTATTCCCTACTGATATTAAACAGGGCTCATAAAAAGTCATCACATATTGTCTTGAATACATAGAAGAAAATCTAGACATTTAACAAAGTTAATTGAATACTATTTTCTTCCCACCCCCCCCCCCCCAACCTATAGATATACAAAATCACAAGAGGCAAAAACATGTTTTCCCTTCATAGATAGGATGCTTTTGTTTGTATTTGTTGTGAGGTCCAAGAAAATCCATTTCTTCCGAACTTCAATAACACTGTTAATAAAGCAGCACTGCCAGTTAAAAAAACTAAGATGCTGCCTTTCTCCCTGGTTGCTTTCCTTTTTCTCTATTTTGCAGAAAATATGAAGGCACAGTAGGAGGACTGTCCTATCTCTACAGCTGCAGCATGGAGTCCCTCCTCTGCCTCAGTATTCTGGACTTTGCACTGGGGTACTGGTCTAGTGTGCTACTGAACTGGTTTCAGTTTCACACTTCGGAGAGAGCAGGGTCAGAATATCTCACTGCAAGACACTGTGCCACAATCCCAGTGGCAACGTTTGCCATGGTGTCATACACCCTGAAGTCCAGCAATTCTTTCCAAAGCAGTGACAAAAAGATATCAGTGCTCTGTGTACTTTCTATTTAATACTCTGCAAATCACTGTCACTAACCCAGGTTTCTGCTGATGTCCAGGACGGTGCTTATACTAGAGGTCTAACCACTTCTTAGCAAAAATGCACTCCTTGTAGCACACCAGGCTGGTTTTAGGTCAGCCATGAGGATGATAAATCCAATGAAACTCTTGAAAGGTTTAGATCCATGTACATTACACTACGCAGACCATCATCTACCCTAAACATCTACTCATAACAGCCTAGTGATGACCAAGAATGCATTGTATCTGTCTACTGTTCTAAACTGCAAACCTAGCATATTACAGCTCCAAGTTTCCAAAATTAAACTGGCAGAAGAACCCAGCAGCAAAAAGTCACTATGGTTAGACAGATGACTAAACTAAAAGAAGAAAAATAATTCCTGATCACAGCAGAACTAAAAATACAGTAACCAAAAGACTTTTCAGATGACAAATTAACCAGTTAACAAAGGCAAAGACAGGATATAACTGTTCTCATATGAAAGGAAAATAATCCAACATTAAAAACAATCATTCCTTGCAAATTTTGCAATAATACATAGGGTGAGTGGAATAGGAAAAAAAGAAAAACAAAACACCCAGTCAAAAATCAAGAAAGCTGCCTGTAATATACCCTACTGCCATTTCAAGAAGGACTGCGAAAGTGTTAGTCAATCCATATCACATTGAGAACCCTGAACAGATGGTGTTTCTTTTAAGACAGAAACTGTTAGTTCAAACTCTTTTAGAAACTACTATAGAACTACGTTGTTATTCCCAGCAGGACAACTTAACTAGTGTTATTAAAATGCAAGCCAAATGAGCCTTATGGTGAGGCATAATATTAATGAAGCAGAATTTTCAGGAGCATCATGATTTCATTTTTATTGCATAAAATGTTACAAAAGCTGAACATGACCCTTTTTAATGCTAACTAAAAATGCAATTTAATTTCATTTTCCTTTTTTAACTGTGCTTGCAGACATGTGACAGACCTTTTCTGTTTAAATAATAGCATTTTGCTACCTAGATTTTTCCAGATGATTTTTATAAAGCAAATAGCTTAATAGTGTAGTTTAAATCATACAACTGCTAGATTTAGGGACTATTGTTTTTACAAGAAAAAGATGTATTAGCATATATAATGAAAGTAGTTAGTGTGACCATGCAGTAGGTGAAAGATGAAAATTAAAAAACATAACCAGTATTTTTCAGGTATTCACAGATCAAAAACACTGACATATAAAATTAGGTAAATCCTGTTTAACATATATGAAGTAAACAATTATGAAACTAGTAGTTTAAAACTCTCAACTCACAGACCCCAAAACATGTGCTTCTAGGAGAGACTTAGAAAATGAAACTCTTCTGTCCTTTGCAAACTGCTTTACAGATGTAACAGGAAAAAAAAAAAAAAAAGAAAGAAAGCCTAACATCCTTCCCTGCTCAAAAACCCACAGAATGATTACTCTTGCTTATTTCCTAAAGTAGTAAACATAGAACTCCCAGTTCGCTTTATGCATGCAACTTAGCTTTTCACAGAAGAAACTCAGCAGAAGAAACATGCTGCAAACTAGCTAGCTTCATAAATGTTCATTATTTTATCATTTGCTTTCTGAATTACCACTTTCCCAGTTCAAAAGGAGTATAATAGATTCCGTATCGTAATTCAGTCAGTCTAAAAACACTGCCAGTTTTGAATTTCCAGTTTCAAAAGTAATAGGACTGTGCTGTTGCTCTTTAGTAATTACACAGTTAAAAGTACAGATAACCCTAGGCAACCAAATCAGAACAGTTGCTTCCTACTCTGTCTTTACATTCCCCAATTGGGACTCAGTTTCTTAATTACTATATTAAACTAAATATACTAATATCAGCTTGAAAAGCACTGTGTTCTGAACCAGAAGCTCCTCATTCATAACGAAAAAAAAAAAAAATTAAAAATCAGAAGAATGAAGAAGCAGAAATGACTCAGTATGATTTTCACCATGAAAAGTGTCGTCTTTAATGGCTGATGACTTCATTTACGGTATGATTACTGGTCACATCTCACCTGATTACTTGCAAGGGTAACATCTTAACCTTTTAGGTGAATCATAAATATTCTCCATATTTTTACATTTTCAGATTCCTATTGTATTTTTACTCTGATCTAGGGTTATAAAGTATGGACTCTTGCCAATCTCTATTTCAATAACCGATGTCATTATGTCTAATCCACACAATTTTTATTTCAGTTTTGAGACAAAACAGCTCTTCCAATCTGTATTTGCAGATGCTTCAAGTTACTTCAAGATTATATTCTCTTTACAAACAGAAGGTTTACCTTGGCATCTCCATCTGGTAGGAAGAGATAAGCCCCGCTTTTATCTCGGTTACTTGTAGTTCCATACCAAGCAAACTCCACTTTCATTTGATGGTTTTTACCATCTTCTTTAGTGTTTATTTTCTAAAAGGACAGAGATTCATGTTTGAAATAATTGACACACTCAAGTTTTCCACAAATAAGCACAGAAATTCTCAAAAAAGTAAAACATAGGGTTTTTCAAATAAAATGCAACCCACCTCCAGTAATCCAGACATTCCTGAAAACCACAGTTTCATGTATGCATTTTCTAAGATTATATTATCTGCAGAATTCTCCATCTCTTTTATCTTGAAAATTCTGTCTGCCTTTTCCTGCCTACTATTCCTTATGTATATATTGTAGTCAGCTAAGACTGCTTCTGAACTCTCATCCGCCAAAAGCTGGTAAACTCCAATCCCAAGAGGCGGCAGATGTGCCACAAAAGAGATCTGTTGGGAGTAAATAAGAAACTATTACTAACAATAGCAAAATAACAACTGTTTACACTGAATTTAGACTCAAGATAACTCCTTTTTGCCTGAATAATTTTAGGATGGCTGAATTTTTCCTATAGTACACAAAAGAACATGAAATAACAAATGACATTCCAAAATTATTAGATGAATGCTAAGAAGAACTAACAAACAAAAATATCTGCATCACTAATTTGCCTAGCATCAAGATCACCATTATATTATTGCAATAATAATTTTGAATCATGTTAAGAAAGAATGTTAGCTGTAATGTGCAGTTCTGCGCATCTTTGCAGTTTATTGGAGATGCATGTGTACTGGATCAAGTGCACATCGATCTTACTTACAACTTAAGTTTAAAATTTACATTTAAAAATATACACATTTAAATAACTAAATACAAGGCAAGTGTCTTATTTTTAGTCTCTGGTTATTTAAGAGCTATAATCTGCAGAGAAGAGCAATATGCCCAGTATATCTCCAAAGCAATTTGCTTAGAATTTGAGGTCCAGATAAGTAATATTATTTCCTCTTCTTCAGACAATAACTGTTAATTATTGTGCTGGTTTTGGTTGGGATAGACCTAAATTTCTTTATAGTAGGATATATGCTGATTGGTTTTAGTATTAACCACATTGATAATACAGTGATGTTTTAGCTACTTCTGAGCTTATGCAGCATCAGCCCTTTCTGCTTCTTATGCTGCTCAGGCTGGGGGTGCACAAGGGGCTTGGAGGGGACACAGCCAGGACAGCTGACCCCAACTGACCAAAGGGATACATCAGGACATGTGGCACCACACTCAGCAATAAAATCTGTGGGAAGAAAGAGGAAAAGAGGGATGTTCAGAACAATGGCACTTCCCACGTCACCATTACGCGTGATAGAGCCCTGTTTTTCTGGGGATGATTGTTCATAGGACACAGTGGATGAATTACCTGCTTTACTTTCTTATGTGCACAGCTTTTGCTTTTCCATTTGAACCATCTTTACCTCAACCCACGAGTTTTCTCACCATTACCCATCCAATTCTCTCCCTCATCCCACTAGACCAGTGAGCTGTGTGGGTCAAGCTACTTAACTGTGTTCAGGACACGACTGAGAGACACTTATGAAATTATCTTTGCAGGAATATCATGCTGAAAGAAGATCCTATTCCTACGTCAAAAGGAATCAGAATGTAAGCCTGAAAGTAATAAAGTACTATTACAATAATACATCACTACTGTATCATTAGGAATTTAACAAAATAAATTTCTGACGTGGACAATCTTCTATAATGACATCAGTATGACTCAAAAATTCTCAGAATCTTTGCTTCAAAAAAAATCCAAGAGGTGGACTCAAAGACATATATCTAGCTCAAGTATCTGGAAGACAGAAAAAAATTTGAATCTAAATGCTTAAGTCACTGCCCTTACAGGACCTTCCAGCTGGAGTGCTTGAGAACATACAGATTGTGTGACTGTGTGTATAGACCATCACTTGAAGGAAGAATCAGCTTTAAAGAGTTATGGGAAAAGACATGCATCCAGTATTTTCTGTTCATGCAGCTGAAACTCATCCTCTAAATGTTATACATCATATCACAAAAGTTTCTTTATCACTTAAAGAAACATTATTGTTAAATTCTTAAATTCTTACATGGCTTTTTGGCGTTTTGTTTTGTTTTTTTTTTTTTTTTTCCTTAAAATGACTGAATGTTCTACAGAAGATAGAACTGCCAATATAAAAAGCATGCTTTTAATTTCTTCAACTGTGAAGCTACAATATCTGTCAAAAATACTTTAATGCTTTTTGCTTGAAGTAGTGTACCTGATATGCTTCATGTGATACTGTAGTTGCTCCATCCCAAACAGCACTAATCTGGAGAGCAACAGGTTTTCCCAATGGAGACAATAATTTAACTTTGGGTGAATTCACGTGGACTGAAACCACTGAAAATCGCTCTTGTTCCGTAGGATTATATATCAAAAGGTATCTGAAAAAACATATTTACTAAATTAGCTCTTGGTAACCAAGTTTCCTCCTTCAAGTTTAGTATTACTGCACATAAATTTTACATACAGAGCATTAAACCAACATTAGAACAACAGGTACATACCACAACAAATAAATATACAAAACATAGCCAGGAAACAATGGATATTTAACACCAATTCTTCATAGGTCTTCTTTTCTTAGTGTTACAATTTCTACAAGAACTTTTGAATATACCTTACCAAAAAAATACATTAATTTATCAAGTTAACTACTAAGAATTTCTATTACAGTTGCAAGCACAATCAAGATAATTATGGGTATTTAAAATGTATTTTTCAGGTTGAACTATTAAATTCTAATCCACAACTGTTTCCCCTTTAACACAGCTTATAAACAATGAAGTAATGAACAAAACCTGCTGTACATATATATATATATATATATATGTGACATATATTCATTAAAGGAGCAAGTTTCTCTCTGTTCTAAAGGAAAGTACAAAATTATTTAATTTACCAACATTCATTATGGCAACTGTTTGCATACCTTCTTATCAGGTTCATATGGAACAACTATTTTTTATGTAATCTTATGCCTTTTCTTCCATTTGAATGCAGATTATATTATTAACTGAAAGAATCGGTCCTGAGCTGAACAGAGTGACTTCATTTGCCTATTTTTTTTTAATTATTATTACAAGTTGTAATAATTGTAAGTATAGAAAAATTAAATTATACCAGAACATTTGTGCCCCATGCACCTGTAGGGCTATCATTGTACTTCATGTCTTTTCATTGACAAGCTCAAAGGATGCACTATTTACAACTGTTCCCTGAAGTTTCCCTCTGTTCATGTCATCCTTTAAACAAAGAACAAAAATTCTATCTTCTATCTTCTTGATCCTCCCCACTGTAAAGCACAATTTACTCATCCATGAGTATCTTTTAACAGCTTCCATCATACCCATGTCTTATTTATCAAATCAGTCCTTCAGCATTTCTTCTGAGTAGATTCTCCTCAGTGCACTCTGCTTTTTTTCCTATGCAGATTCCTCAGGGTTCAGTCAGTGGTTTTCTTTCCCTTGCTTTCACATCTTAACCTTTAGATTTCATTACCCCCTTCACAGATCAAACCACTTCACCTAGAATTTCCTCCTTCCACCCAAACTACAAATTTGTCAGTAAGGTCTTTGACTTAAAGATCACCTATAGCTTGAATCTCTTCCCATAATCTCACATTCTGATTGTAACTCTTCCAGGTTCCTTACCTGTACTGTACATTTGGTTGCTCTGTGCTCCATTATTCACTAGCCTGGCACTGCAGCACAACTAAGATTCTGTGAAAAAGTTACTCACTAAATCCTTTAATCTTTTCTCTTTTCCAACACTAGCTCTGTACAGACTGAGGGTTGCTCTCTTCTACATACATGCCAGAGGAGAGTAAGTTCTCCCTGGCACCACAAACTCTGGCAAGCAATGGACAAAACTGCTGAGATGACACTTTGGAAATATGGAAACAGTAACATTTCAGGGCTGAGAGACAGAAGCAAACTGCTTTGAGGTAATTAGGAAACACACATTTAACTCCTCCTTAAGCTGACACTGAGGACTTCTACACAGAAGTTATACTGTAACATCAGACTTAAATCAATCTACCACTATACCAAGAATGTAATACAGACAAACAAGGAAAATGCTTCCTTTTTCTCCATAGTGCTGAAAATTCTCAACTACTCTTTTTCCATCCTGTTCTTTGATTTTTTCGCAACGCTACTCTAATTTTAACAAATGCAGTTTTGCTCTACAGATATGCAGAATCCTAAGCAGGCTATTGTTTTCCCCTTATCTTTTCACTGGCTTCCTCTTTTCTCCAGCGTCAAACTTTGGCTGCTAAATTCCACAGCACTTCACTGCTACCCTATTCCCTCATAATCAGCAGGAAATGAAAGGTCAACTCCAATTTCTCATTAGCTGAATAAACAAAAATCAGAGGCTATATTACCTTTTTATATCAAGAACCTTTGGATTACCTGCCATAAATAGAATGAGTTTCCCATAAAAATTATTTTAACTCCTTAGATACCTGTGCTGAAATATTGTTAAATCAAGACTTCTATGCATAACAACAGATTTCAGTGTATGTTTGTGGTCACAACCAGAAATGGTTTGGGGTGCTCTCTTTTGCCCTGTTTCATGTTGAAGACTCCTACATTACTAGACAACGTAATAGCTAACCAAATTCTTAGTCATCTTTTGGAGTCTTTAAGAACTTGTGCAAGATTTTCTGAGAGCCTCTCCAAGATTTGAGGAGGTCATTTTACACTTCTACTTAACTGGAGATGTCTTCTTTTGGGGTAAGATTTTAAATTAAATGTTTTGGTTAATGATAATGATTTTTTAGTTTGTTTTGTTTTTTAAACAACATTTGTGGAATCAAAGCCTAACTAAACCAGCCCTGCTCTCAGTCTCACCCATTAGAAAGTAGTAACAGAAAAAAATAGAATTAATAAAATACTTTTAAGAACTTCTCATATTTTGTCAAAGAAGAAGGTAAGAACTCTGTCAGGAACAATACAGATCAGGAGATGATCCAATCCCAAAGCTCAAAATAAATCCTCATTCTCAGCCAACAACAGAACATTACAAAAATATTTTATTTATTCAATTTGTTTATACAATGGAATTCCTCACTTCTTATGCCTCCAAGTAAAATGTGAGCCTATGCATATAATAAATTTTCAGTAATGCTACACATCCTCATTAAATTTAAATTACCTGCCAAGCAAAACCATATTAGTGCAAAAATATTTCCAGGAACTTTGTTCACCTTCCCACAGATATTAACATGTTTCACAACTTTAATTAGTCACATGACAAATTTACCCATGACACAGGATGGCCATATTATTATTATATTCCACCAGACTACCTTTTTCCTTTTTTTTTTTTTTAATTTGGATAAAACAAAGCTCTTGTTATACCAAGATACATATGTTTTATAGCTTCTTGAATCAATGTATTATGTGTGTAGATAGTAATAAGGCAGTGAGATGAAGCTATTATGACACGGCAGATTTTCATCAGTTGAAAAGCAGGAATTTTGCTTAGATGCTAAGATTTTGGGTTGAAATATTATTCCAGCAAAACTTAAGTATTTATACTAAGGAAGATGTAATTATTGTGCATATGCAAAAGCACTGTATAATGTAATTACATCACTTTTCTTCCAAAGCACCCTTCAATTTTCACCCTTAAACAACATCCTACTGTAACTTTAAGCTTTATATGAAACAAAAGAGCTACACCTCACTCAAGCTGTATCACTGCAAACAATGTTAGACAAAAAAGTTGAGCAAAATTGCTTAATGAATTGCAGTTACATTACACAGAGAAGCAATTTGATAATATTTAAAGGTTTCCTATCCCATATTTTAAGGCAAAACCATTAATATTACTGTCTTTCAGAAGCAGCAAGAAAATATTTTCCTTTCATTATTCAGATCACTGGTCTTTGGCAATAGCACCAAGAAAACTATTAAAGTTCACATCTTTCATCCAGTTAAAGAGTTAGGGCAGTTTTAATGCTTATTGGTAAAGTTCATATAAAAAAAATTTACCTGAAATATTTTACTTTAGAAGCACCATTATGGTTGAGCGTCAGTCATAACTTCTTTCACTTATTGAAGTAACCTAAGAATTCTGAAACTATTTGAATGTAAAATGTACTGAGACAAAAGGAAGTCATACAACTTCCAAAAGATAATACCATGACCAGTTCACTCACAGAGACCACATATTTCATCTGTGCACAGGGAGCACAAATTAACTGCTCTCAGCCCATCAAAAAATGAGAAATGGGTGTGGATTTCAGCTCTTAATCCTAAATTGGATTCATCATAAAATTTGCAATTTCAGAAAAGAAAATCCTGACACCTGTTTTTCAGACACTTTTGGAAAGGTATGCTTTGAATTTTTTTACCCTTTACTTTTTTGGGTCTCTCAAACTCAGAACAGGTGACTCTTAGTCATATAAGCATGACCACTTTCCCTAGATAACCTACCATATACCATTAATAAACTCTATCAAATGCATATATTCAAGCATCAAAGAATATTTTGGCCATTCTTTCCTGCAATCCAAGATTAAACTTGTTGTGGAACATTTTTCAGCCGGAGCAAGAAATAGCCTCTCCCCATTCTTATTTCAAATACTTTCATTATTAAACTATCAAGAGAAAGTGTAAACCAGTGTACCTTTATTTACAGGCAAAAATATGAAGAAAGATTCTTCAGATCTCTAACAACTCTAATCTTTGCCTCCTAAAAGAATATTGTTTCTTAAACTGAAAAGTTTCAGTATTTTAAAAGATCCTTGTTTTCTGATTCACTGATGTGCATCAACATATGGGCACATATATTGATATAAACATTTACAGGTAACACCTGAAACACAATTACCATTTTCTTTTAAAGTTCATTCAATGCTGCCTTCAGAAGGGAGGCATTCAACTAATGTGAGAAACCACAACTCACTACTAGTAAAAGTCAGAGAGTCATCAGTGACAAAGGCTTATTCAAGGCACTTGGATTCACTACAGCTTAAGACAACAGCTTTCATCGCTCAGCAGAAGACCTTTATTCAAATATGCTTTGAGAACCAGTTCCTTGAAGGACTCTAGCTCAGACTGACCAAGTTTACTAAAATTACTCTGACAAACTCTCTAAGGCAGATTAGAACATTTCACATTATAAATAGTTTCATTAGAATCACTTCCCTGCACCCATACACACAATTTTAATGCAAAAAGTTATACGATCAAGATCTACAAAGCTAATTACTTTATTTCACTCTTCTCCTATAGAGGCTAAGTTAAAATGCATTAAGTGGTGAAAAAAAAAAATGCAACAAGTACACCCAGAACTGAGAAAAGGTACAAATCATGAAGTCAAATGAAATAGTGTATCAATGGTCTTCCACTAAAGAATGAAAGAAAACAAA